GTGGTTGTGAGCTTCTTAATGGTTAAAGCTGAAATTAATATATTTTCAAATATTTTATAATTAAATTATTTTCACTACAAGACAAAATCATAAGCAATTCAATTCAGCCACTTTAGCCTGTTATCAAACGGCCCCAACTTTGAACTTGTTTCGCTGAATGAGCCCAAAATATTTGAAACTTAAAAATTTGTCGGTATTTATCTTTCCTTCTAAATTGCTGGGTGTTTAATTTTGAACCATGTCTATTTCCTTTAATTATATTTTGCTGTATTATGCAAAAAAGAGTTTCACTCTCTCCTTTTGGTCAGTATTGTCAAACTTTGACTTTTCAATTATGATCCCATCTGGCTTTCTACCATCTTTGGCCCCTCGTGTCCCCCTACCAAACGGCTCAAATGACAAGCCTCCTCTTAATTTAGAGCTGTACATTGTCTGGATCAACTTGGGAGGCATCGATCCCCACCCTACTACAGAGGGTCTTAATTGGCATGCATCTTGAGTTCTCATTATCATCTGTTTTAGGTCTGCACTATTTCTAAGTTATCGATTGCACCAAACATTTTGTACGCAATTATCATGGGTTATTTGCACTTAGATGCTCCAAAGTGCATTTCATTCTTGACATGAAACAGATCGATCCCGTTAACAGATAACTAGTGTATATGTATATATATAACGTTTTAAAAAACAACTTGGAAATGGAATTGTTCTAGCAATTGGTTTTTGGGTTAATAGTTTGATCGTTCAGTTCAAATGAATGGCTCGTTTTCACAAACAAATTAAAAAATAATTTAAAAATAAAAAATGGTAAAAAATATTAAACGAGTCGATGGGTCGACGGTTTGACCACCTGGGTCAACGGGTTGTTGAGTTTTTCAATGATTTTTTGCCAAAGACCAGATTTGGGGTAAAACGGAACCGGCTACCTAGACGATTCTCGGACCAACTATGAACTAAATAGACCCTCAATTTATTTAGTAGGTGTTTGGCATCAGTGCTGGGAACACCACACCATTTTCTCATAAAAACGGTATTAGGCATGTGGAGTTGTAAGCTCATCATTGCACTAGTTTGGAACCAGTGCTGCCACATAGGTGTTTACTGAGAAAATAACACTAGTTTTGTTTTGTACCAGTGTTGGCAGCAATTTTTCAAAATTGATATATATTATCCAACGTCCAAGATGATGCCACATCATTGCACCACTAGCAACAACGTGTTGTTTTCTTAAAAAATATTGAATTTGGTGTTGCTCTATACCACACTTTCCCGATTTCTAAGGTGTGGTCTAGAGCAACGTTTTTTCTAGAAAAATGATACTGAACAAGGGGGCAATGTTTGAAGCACCACTTTCACTGATGTGGACCCACATGGTGTTCTTTCTCTAGTGTAGTATTCACATGGCACCGTTTTCTCACATCGATGCCAGACAAATCTTATGTCATTAAAATAAGATGTTTGGGCAAAGTCTTAGTCAAATTTGGAATTTTATTATTTTTAGTAATTTTTCTATTTTAGAAAATTTGTGAGTCGGTTATAAATACACCATTTTATGAAAACAAATCTAATGAATTGAATACAATTTTTTTTTGAATTTTCTCTTTTGCTTGTGGCTTCAATAGGGGTGGATTCGAGCTGAGCCGAGCTGAATAGTACAAGGCTCGAGCTCGGCTCGCCAAGGTAGTACAAGGCTCGAGCTCGAGCTTAAGCTCGGTTCGAGCTAGAACCTTAAGCTCGAGTAAAAAACTCATAAGCTCGAGCTTGATTTGAGAAAAAATATTTTATGAAAATAAAAATTTATATATAAAAAATATTTTTTTATTTGATATTTAAAAATTAAGAATTATAATAATTAGTTATTATTAAATATAAAAATAAAAATATTATATATAATATTTTTATTATATATATTATTTTCTATATATATATATATATATATATAGATATATATTTTGAGCTCGGCTCGCAAGCCTCACGAGCCTTAACTCTATTAGGCTCGAGCTCGGCTTGATTAATAAACGAGCCTGTAAATTAGGCTCGAGCTCATTTCGAAGCTTGATTGAAACCGAGCCAAGCTCAAGTAGCTGGTGTAGAGCTCGGCTTGTGGCCACCCTAGGCTTCAAGACTTTCTTTATACTGAAGAAGATAGGTGTTCTTTCACGCTCCTACTATTTCTTGACTTCCGTTAGAATTTGTAGCTTGGGTCAATTCTTGAGTACTTGATGAGACCTCAGTACAAAACCGAAATTCATCATATTTTAACAAAAATCAACATGTTCCCTACCTCTCTTACACTTCTTAGAATTTTAACAATAAATTCTTTGATAAATATACCTATATACACATCCAAGGTTTTTGAACCACTGTTGACCCAGATGGTTGGATCATTTGGCTTGGGTACTATCAGACAAATGGTTCCATTTTACTCTAAACCCGGTCTTTAGCCAAAAAAATGTTGAAAAAGTCAATAACCCGTTGACTCAAGCGGTCTAACCGTTGACTTGTTGACCCATTCTATGGTTTTTGACTTTTTTTTTATTTTTTTAATTTGTTTGTCAGAACGGGCTGTCCATTCAAACCAAATGATAAGACTGTCAACCTAGAAACTGGTGGCCAGAACAATTCCATTTCTAAGTCATTTTTTAAAATGTTGTACACATCTACACTCTATAGTTCTACTCAAGCCTTGCCACTCAATAATTCTCAAACCCGCCGCTCTGCGTTTGGAATCAGTGTAAAAATATACCGATGATGTTTTACACTAAACTGTAAGAGTGATCGTTGCTTTTTGAAAAACGTGATGGGTGGAAGAGTGTAAAGTTTTGCATCGATAAAATCGATGTAGTTTTTACATCGATTATCGATGTAAAACTTTCTGCTTGATGAAATTTTACATTGATCATCGACATAAAACTCCACTCTATTCAAACACACACAAAACTGAACTAGAATAGAATTTTACGTCGATTATAATTAAATGCTCCTTCCGAATGCGTACAAAATCAAACCGATGTAAATTTTACATCGATTCTTCATTTATATCGCTTCCATATACGGTCTTATTAACCGTGTCTGATCTCTTAGCCACTGGAATCCCATCCACACCTACTCATGGTACATTACAGACAGGTATATATTGGAACATCCTTCCATGAATGATAACATGCAAATATGTGATATATCCCCAATGTATAGATATATTGTCCCGTGGTAGGTATGGATAGGATTATTGGGTGTAGGAAATCTGAATTGTTATTAGCCCCCTTCCTATTGAGGCTGATGGTCAATTTGCCATGGCTGAGGAGTGGAGTTTCAGGGGATCAAGTGAACTGTTCAAAAGCAGCAAATATGGTACGTACAAGGGGAGGAGATTCAGGGGATGATGATGAAAAAAGTAGAGCAGTCGTCACAATTAACCCGACACTTACGAGTTCAAATCTGCTACCAACCAGATGTAAATGACAACGGAAATGTTACCAGTATACCCTACAATAACTTGTTGGGCACGATGGTTATCTGCTACCAACAGAACACTCTCAAGAATGTCCCAAGATCCTACTCCAGCTGTACATTAGGCTGCATTTAGAAAAGATGCAAATGGAGTGTAAATCTCAGTTTAGGATAAATTTGTACTCTGTTTCAGTTCTAACTGTGTTTGGCAATAATATATTTATGCATTGACAAATGACAGAAAATATATTGTCTAATACATATTTATATTCATAATAAAATGTAAAAGTACATTAATAAAAAAAAATAAATTTACATTTAAATAAATTTTTGATAAAAAAAGATATATATTTTATTAGAATTCGTATTTACATTTATTACAGTTAAAAATCCGTTTACTAAAAAACTAAAATTATCGGTGCAAAATTAATCTAACTTTATAATTTATATAAACCATTTTACACTACATATTTACATTACACTTATTTGCTGAGAGATCTAAACTGTAATGAATTTAGGATAGTGTTGACTGTTAAGAGCGTTTGCTGAGAGATCTAAACTCAGTTAGAAGAGGTATGGCTGTCAGCAGCTGGCTGGAAAAGGTGGCTCATTAGTTCATACAGGTAACAATAGCCCAAAACAATAAATGGGGGAGCCGATTGTCGATTGATGACTTATTGCTTTCTGTCACTTCATTCGACAAATTATTAAATAATGTATAGGGTAGTAAAGGCTTGGCTTGATGATTTTACCTTTGCATATTGATATATTTAAATACTAAAAGATAAAAGATAAAGACATAGCAATAACATAGGCTCCGTTTGGTGAGCTTTTTCGCATGGGCTATCGGTTGTTTAGAAATCCGATAGTTCATATTTTAGTAATTTTTTTATTTGGTTGGGAGAAGATTTAATTGGTGAAAAGATGTGAGAAGTCCGTTTTAGACTAAATTTGTGAAATTCTAATTAAAATTTTATAATTTTTTTTATCTCGTTTTAATACAAAAAGATGTAGAAAAAAATGCAACTTCAACCAAACCATCTATAAGCTATCAATATCTTTATGTTAAAGCCCACTGTCCATAATAACTTAAAAAGAAATACTTGACCATAAGCTGCTTAGTTCAGCCACTTTCAGCCGTATCGAACACGCACAATCAGGCCAGTCCGGATCAGGCAGGCACGTCGACCCAATCTGTAAACTGCGATAACTAGGCTATGTCGATATAAAGAATGGGCTGGGTCCCAGTTAACATTAGGTTCTCTGGATCTCTTCAGTACTCTTGTTTGTCTTAAATAAATTGGCCCAAGCCATTAGTAATATCCAAAGAACCCAATTAATCCAACTCTGTGTGAGTTCAAACAACACTGCCTGGAGGCTGGAGGTCAGTAGGTCACTATGTCAATTTCTTAATCCCTCTGCTCATTACTGCCTACCGGAAATACAATTAAAATTCCGCCAGTTAGAGTTACAGTTGTGACGAGAAAAAAAAAATAATTATAAAAGGATAAATAGAAATAAATTTAAGAAAGTAGGACCTCATTTTGACATTTAATAAAACAACAAGTGACCGTTTTGGCTTTATTAATTGTTACAAATGTTTGCTACAAGCTTTCCGAATCTCTCTTTCTCTCCAGTTCCTTTGTTTGGCAAATTACATATTACAAGCTTTGGATTAATTCGCAAATTAACAAATAAGTGGGACTAAACAAACAAAACCATTATGCCCAAAACCATGCGGCCTGATAATAGAGATTGAAGAATAGACCAGAAAATAGAGACGTTGACGACCCTTAATTGCTAGCTAGTTAATGAAAGCACAATGTTTCCTGATTTCACCGGCAGCTCCGGTAAGTACTCCGATGTTACCCATGTTAACCATAGACACCCCAAAATCCTTGAAGAAGGTAGATCCATGGGTGGAAGCCTGGAGGTTTACATAAGCTTTGGTCTCACTGTCTGTGAGGAGAGCAGCATCCGATTGGAACAGTCCTCTTCTTTTGGACACAAGTGTGTAGTAGTCAGAATCGAACGTTCTGAAGCTGCCTGGATCCATCTCCACCAGGGTGGTGGTGTCTCCTGACCTACATTTGTTCTTCAACTTTGCAATGTAATTGGGGTCCAGTGAGGGGTCGGTGTCACCCTTTCCGGTGAAGTTGTACAACCGGTTATTGAAGTTAAAGCAGTGAGAAGTCCCAATTGTGTGTCCAGCTACACATAAACACAAAAGTTAATGTTTTTATATAACATATATTTTCTTTCTCTCTGGAGTGCATGCAGTGGATCAAATTAAAGCTAATGACATCCATCCATGGAGGTGATCAAGATCAGATCATCAGTATACCTGAAAGGACAACAAGATCTTTAACACTTAAACCCTTTGCACTGAACCTTGACTTCAGGTCGCTGATGTTTGCCGTAGGAGGTGGTAGAAATTGCAAAGCCTCACTGGAGTTTGATACTCTTCCATCTCTTCGCCCGGTCGGAACTTCCCAGAATGGTCCCTTATCCTGAAAAGCAAACCATCTACTTGATTAGTATCAACAGGATTCAATTAATAGTCTCTGATGAAGCAGAAGGAAGATGTTTCTTACAAAGGAAACAGCATCCCTGGCCACCAGGGCGATGATATCTGCACATGAAACCACTCCTGGGCATGTTTTCTCCACTGCAGATTTTGCAGCGTCGATAACCTGAAACCCTCTGAGACTCTGGTTGGGGAATGCAGTTTTCTCAGGCTGAGGGTTTGCACTAGATGAATTCAGTAGCACGGAACCATCGCACCCCTGAAGACTCGAGCTTGTTAGACCAAAAATAAATATTGCTCGTAAAATTCTCTAATTTAAGTTTATACAATAAAAGATCATTCTGGTAGTACCCTGACGAAACAATCATGAAAATGCATCCTTAATAAAGGAGCAGCAAGGCTGGGCGCTCGCGAGAGAAAACTGTCAGTTGTCTGTTTGACAATAGCCTCCACAGAGGGGCATGTCTTCTCGTAGAACCCTACTTTCAGGCCCTGAGCGCTGGTGGGGTCTAAGAGGAAAAGCGAAGCTCCCAGTTGAAGAAGGAGAAGTGATGAGAAAAGCTTCAGAGTAGACATGTCTGCTGCTGGGAATGGTGACTCTGTTTCTCAACTTTTGGCCACTGAATTAACCTTCAACATAGATCCTGTTATATACTGGAATGGAATTGAATATTTGAACCTAACCCTTGTTCAGTTGAATTGTTTAATGCATTATGTATCGAATTGTATAATTTAAGGATTAATTAAGGAAGAAAGCGATATTTCAACGTCAGAGAAGGGAAAGTGGCTACTGTCGGGAGGTCTACCGTCTACGAGAGATGAGTACTTGATGAAAAACAGTTAAACAGACCAGTGCGTAAATATCAGAACTTGGCCGTAACCGATCATTCGCAATACTTTCTACCGTTCTTCGTACCCAATCTATAAGCAGGTTCATTCCGTTAGGCCACCTTTCCCAGTTCTGTCAGGTATATACCCATTCTGATCTTTATTTGTTACCCTGAGTTGAGATGAATTGAAGGATGTTAGAATAGAATATGTAAGAGCAATAACTGGGTAAATTAATTTGCAGATTTGACTCTCACAGTCACCGACTCAAATGAAAAATAATAATAAAAATGATTCAAAGAACAATAATAAGTTGTTGTAATTACTAATTATTAGTGTTCAACTCAAGCAAACTCGTCATGAGAATCGAACTGGTGGAGGAAGACGAAGGGGTTGACCTTTGACGTGACTTCCATAGATTTAACCAGTAAATTAAAAGTGTAGCTTGTTATTATTGGGATTGGAAATTAAATTATATCCCCCACATTAACTAAAAAAAAGTTAGCCGATCAAGTTATTTTTTGTTTATAATATCAAACTGAAGCTTATTGGTTTGATGGGAATACCCAAACTGATTCAGTTTTTGAATTTTTGCTTGCTAAAATGGACAAAGAGAAAGCTTCAGTATGTGATCAAATAAGCCAATTAAAGCCAGAACTCAGCATAAGATGTTAATGCTTCTCTTTCAGCTATAATAATCTACCATTCTTGGTATTTGGTAATACAATTATTGGCCTCCAGATAAACTGTGACGTAGAGGCGGTGCTCAAGACATATCGAATCTCAGTTGTTAGAACTGATGGATTAATAAGTTGAATAAGCTGAGGTCATGTGCATTGCAGGAGGTGAATGAAAGGACCACACAACCCAAACATGTATTTAATCTGATTAACTGGCACCGTCTATTTGATTGCTATATTTAGACCATCATACAGAAAACAAGCGACAAAAAAGCAGGTATATATAGTATTAAAAAAAGAAGCAAGAAAAATAAAGCGAGGAGGCCAATGTCGAGAAGTATTAAGTCCTAATTAATATGCTTCTCTGGTAGAGATGAGTATACATATATTAAATATTTTAGCTCAAAATTAAGAGATTGGTAATAACAACTCTCGTCGACTCGTGTTGAAAAGAAATAACGACCATGAATAATGTACTGGGGGGCCTTGGGTATCTGAGCTAGGCCATACCCGTGATGGACAAGTTAATTAGAATTGCCTCCTGAAAGTATGTATAATAGCGTAAAAGGCATGTGATGTATCTTGGTTTAATAGAAACTAGGGGTGGCAAATGGATGTGGGTTGTGTTGGATTGGATGCTCAACAACCCACATCCATTAATTACCTATATTTCTGACCTGTATATGGGTTGAAATCTAATCTATTCCATCCATTTCCCCACTTAAATATTAGGGTTATATAAGTATTTTAGGAATTGTTTTATGGACTGTGTTTGGTTGCAGTGCAAATTTATTTATACTAGTGCAAATGCATGAGTGTGAAAATATAAAAAATGTAAAATCTTGTTTAATTTTATTTTGGATTTTATTTTATTCTGCTTCATATCTTAATTTACTTCATTTATACTGTAATTAAACAAAATAAACTAAAATTTGAGATAAATGTCAGAATTTACACTCAAATCATTTGTACTGTCATGATTTTGCATCAGTGTAAATTTATTTGCATTGCAATCAAACACAGTCTTGGGATTTTCAGTGTCATGTATCATTATTGGGTTAGAGAGATATTAAGAGAGGAAATAAAAAAAAAGGGAATGAAGAGAGAAAATCGTGAGGAGAGGGAAAGATAGGAGAGACTGAGAGAGGGGAGAGAAAATAGGAATTAGGAAGAGAGAATGAGAGGAGAGAAGAAAATTTAAAGAGATCAACTAATGAGAGAAAACTGAGAGAGTTGGGAAGAGAAGATTGAAAATTAAGAGAGAAAGAAAGAGGAGGCATGTGACTGACCCAAACGGGTATTCATGACCATCTAATTCAACGCACTTAAATCTGAGGTTGTTAATAGACTGGTTTTGGATTGAACCCCCTCTAGTCTAAAATCAACTTGGACAGATGGACGGACCAACAAGACATATTGGGTTGAACCAACCTGGTTCAAAATATTTTTTAAATTGGATTGGACCTGATCCATCTATAATAAATTTATATTTGATTGGAATGTATTAAGTCAATATCCAAATCCATTGCTATAAGATAAGAATATAGGTGTTAATGGATTGGGTTTGGGTTAAAACAATCTAAAATCAAAACGAACTTGAACAAATTGAATGATCCAGACATTGAATTGGGCCTATCTAAAATGGTCCATAATATTGATTGGATTGAATTAGACCTGATCCATTATTAATAGATTCACATTGGACTGAATCGGATTGAACCAAATTCAATCTAATCGACTCGCCTACTTAAATGTAATTAATTTTACAACCCATTACTGACCCACTAGGCCACTACACTAATTAAATGGCGGGTTGGATGGGCGAAGTAATTTGGGTAAAAAATTGCCACAACCATTAAGACTGCTTTTTATTACAAAAAAAGAAAAATTAAAACTGCTTTTACTGACGTATAAAGCTGTTCATGGGCCGTACTTTAGGTTCGGTATATGAATATTTTACATCTTTGCGGGCAGTATTATGTTTAAATCAGTCCATCCAAATTTTGAGAAAAGCTAAACCCGAACTTAACCCATGAATCGGTCCATGGATACATAGGAGATAGCCATGCAATCCAAAGCAGATTTTGGCTGTCCATGCAATTTTGAAACTTCCTCACATGTATCGCTCACACAGACTAGGTGTAACATCATTGAAGCTGAATGCATTGTGGGGTAAACACTGTTGATAGCATAGGCTGTCGAATGTTGGACTGCCAAAATTTTATCTAAAATCCACTTGTTTTCTTTTCTCCAGGCAGGTTCCCATGTTAGAGATCAAACTCACCACAATACATTGTTTACGATGTTCATCCAACCGCACATTGGGAATATTGGTTATACTTTGTATCACCGATGTTCATGGTGTACAGCTGGATGAGCGTGGCTAACAATGTATTTTCTGCGACCGATCAGGACTCGGATAGAGGATTTCTCAATAGTTGACTAACTATGTCCTGTGGTTATACTTTTTTAGTTGACTACTATACAAAGGGATTTCTCAATAGTTGATTATTACCTCGGCGGAACTGAAGAAAACAATAAGCTAGAAATAGCAAGAAAACATCAGAGCAACAAGAGATCAACACACCACCAATTTTTAGCTTAGAAAACCTCTCTGATGTGAAAAGGAAAAACCACAGGACACTAACCCTGAAAAATATCTCCACTATAACAGTAATATTGAGATTACAATGTGTTCCTCTCTAACAGTAACTAGAAGATGATATATATCATCAAGAGAAAATAAACCGCTCAAATCCTCACCAAACAAGGTGGTTACAATAGTAAAACAATAATAAATTTTCTTACCTCAAGAGAGAACAAACAACTCTTGAAAACACCTTTTTTGAGATGAATAACAACACAAACCTTTCTGTGGATATCGCCTTCACAGCAGCTTAATTCTTGATCCCTTCCAAGAAAACCCTAGCCTCAAGAGCACAAAAGTCACCCAACGAATGAGTATATTGGGATGAGAAAATAAGGGCCTTTTCTTAACCCTATTTTTCCTTCCTTTTGTCCTTTCTTAAAGTGAGTGGAACCCATCTCATAAGAATCGAACCCAACAAATGATTTGGGAAATTAAATTCCCAATACGAAAGAGATGGGAGGGCGTCATTTAGTAGGTGTTTGGCATCGGTGCTGGGGACATAAAAACAGTGCTTATTTTTTGTTTGAAAGTGGTGCTGCCACATAGTTTGTCTTCTGGGAAAACAGCATTGGTTTTGTTTGGTGCCAGTGATGTAGAACCATTTTCAGCATTGGTAATATAATCCAATGTCCAAGATGATGCCACATTGATGCCGTTGGCAAAAACGGGTTGTTTTCTGAGAAAACATCAAATTTGGCATTGCTTCAGATCGCACTTTCTCGATTTACAAGGCATGGTTTGAATACCACACTTTCCTGATTTTCAAGGCATGGTTTGAAGACCACATTTTCCCGATTTCCGAGGCAAGGTTTGAAGACCACACTTTCCCGATTTCCAAGACATGGTCTAAAGACCATACTTTCCCGATTTCCAAGGCATGGTCTGAAACAACATTTTTTTTATGGAAAAATAGTACCAAATAAGAGGTTATTTTCTGAAGCACTGCTTTTTCTGATGTGGCGCCTACATGGCACCATTTTCTGAAGCAGTTCTGATGTGGTGCCTACATGGGGCCATTTTCTTTCATTTTCTCAGAAAATGGCATCGATCTTCATCTGATGTGGCACCTACATGGCACCATTTTCATTGATGCCAAACACCGCCTCAGGTTGTTGGATTGAGTGAACTAGTACAATTGCATTAAAAGAATTATTCTGGCTTAATTTTTTCTTGGGTTTATTCTAATTCTGGCTTAATAATGTTTGGCTTAATTTTGTTTTGGGCTTTAATTGATTTCTTATTTTAGGCGTTTGTACTGCAATCAAACAAAAGTAAGGTAAAACTGGAAACAAAAATAAATCAAAATTTATTAAGGCAAAGTGTTTAAATGCAGAAGACTAGTTATCCTTTTAGATAAAATACCAATTAATAAACTGCTCCATGGATCCAATAGAGTGAAATGGATGTAGGGAGATGTACACCACAACTGTAAAAATGGATTTAGGGAGCTACAAACAATCCACCTGGACAAAGTATGTACACTTTGTGGCCAAAATATTCCACCAAACTATAGATGTAAATATACGTCCTAATTGTTCACCTA